CAGGGGCTTTGCGCCCCCACGATAGTATTTGCAACGAAGGGTTCCAGAAAGGAACTACGAAGTCGGAGAGCACCACATATCCCGTGAACCATAAACCCCATACCCTAAATCTGGCATACCCCGACTCCCTCAAAATCCTTAACCCTAGACCCTTAACCACACCCAACCCCACGAACAGTCATCTTGGCCTTGAATTGGGCCACGCCTCGGATACATCAAGGGCATTTTACCAGTAGTATAGAGGATGTTGTTGATACATACATGCATACATGCATACATGCATACATGCATTACATGCATTACATGCATACATACATGAATACATACATACATACATACATACATTCGTTCGTTCGTTCGTTCGTTCGTTGGTTGGTTGGTTGGTTGGTTGGTTGGTTGGTTGGTTGGTTGGTTGGTTGGTTGGTTGGTTGGTTGGTTGGTTGGTTGGTTGGTTCGTTGGTTCGTTGGTTCGTTCGTTCGTTTGTTCGTTCGTTCCTTACGTACATACACATATACTCTCTCTCTCTATATATATATATGTATAGATCGATATGGCGGTGTCCACTGTTTCCACATCACATGATAAGGATTGTCGTATATTGGGGTGGGGTCCCCCTGTTTCAACAAGAATAGGGAAACTACCATGCATGGTCCTAGCTGGAGGCACATTCACCCATATCATTGTTTGCTGTCGGCTGCTGGGCTTCCAGGATAATTCAGGGCTCCTCAAAATGGAGGGTAGCTTTTCTGGAAGTCGCAGAATAAGGATTATAATGAAATGTTGGCGGTCTACATTGGGGTCCACCTTAATAGCGTGGCTGCCCTTGACCCTTTCCTTGGAAACCTTTCCCAAGCCTTCTGGTCGAAGGTGTGACTGTCGACCAGTTTGGATTAACCCCTTCCTTGAATCTAATCACTTAAGGCCCTTAACCAAAGGGTTTGCATTTAGAAGGGAAGGATTTTTTTAAAAAAAAAACAACCCAAAAAAAAAAACATCCAGCCTTACATGATGCTTCCCTCCCCAACAGGAACCTGGGAACCCACATCACCTTTTCTGAGTACACAATAGTCTTCGTACCGCATCTCTTGACCTTCCATGCCGAGTCCGGCGAGCGTAGACCTCCTAGAATTCAGCTCAGGCTAGGGATGAATACTGGGATGGCTGCCCATAGTAGTCCCTCCTAGAGCTCCTTGTAATGTAGTAAGTTCCATTGTCTTTTCCCATTCCTTCATTCCCTGCTGAGAACTGGTTGGCCCCTAAAACCCTTTGAAAAATATTAGTATATAGGGTCCCTTATTAAAGCCATTAGGGAAAATATTAAGTATCCCAGGGGCCTACCCAAAGAAGAGGTAAGAGATCCGAGGGCTCCATGCTTCGAATTTGGCTGTTCCTGAGGTCTTGGCGGCAGGCGCACGCTGATCCAAGCGATGATGCGCGGCACTAGGGGTAAGTTCAAGATCCTCCGCACGTTGGACAAAGAGGGGGGACTTTAAAAGGGGGTCATATGGGGGATGAGGGTTTAGGGTCTAAACTCCTTAAAGGGGGTTATGTGGGGGATTAGGGTTTTGGGGCTTATAACTGAAAAAGATTTAGAGTGGGCAACAAGCAACAGCTGTTGATGCACGCTGTTAGCCACTGCGATGAAGAGAAAATGGCCCAGCCAAAGCAGTAAGGCAAATGCCAACTCTGGCATAGGTAGGTATAGTCCCTCTATAGTAGATAGAATATGGCTTTGTGTCGGGTCATAGCTACAAAGCACTAGGGTAGCGTCTTTGCCCGCTTATAAACATGCTTCCCAGTTATAACTTGGATTTTTCCACACGAGTGCCTAGGCTGCCACAGAGACAGATCGCTTGGCTACTCCGGTACTCAGCTCTACGTTGCTCTCTCTCTTTCATGGTGCTTAAGGGAAAGCGGGGGAGGAGCCTCCAATAATGCCTTACCCTCAACCCTGATGCCTTATCCTGGTAGCTATATTCCCTCCCGCACTCCCCCTTAAGCAAGCCCATGTACTTGGAACCCACTTGTACTTGTACTTATTACGTATAACCCAAGCATACCCCTGTTGGCGTCTTATAACTGGGTTTATACCTACGGCTATAAGCAAGGATAGAAGTACCCAAGGACCTCCAAGCAATCCCTTCCCTAACATTAAACCCACCCACCCTCCGTAATATTCAATATTCCCGATATATCATAAGATACCACAATGCGGAGTATTTGTTATTGGGGGGGGTTAATATGAGGGGGAGAGTATTCGTGTAGATCAAGGGGCCCCCCTCTGCCGTGTTTGTGAGACGGTGGATAGCCAGGTCTTCACAGAAGCATAAAGCGCTATACAACAATCTGGGGTGCTGTTACTATAATAAGGATAGAGGGTGATCAAAGACCCCAAACCCAAAAAATATGGTGATTAAATAGCCTCAGCCCTAAATCCTAAACCCTATGCCCTAACCACGAATAATGGGGTTCCCTTTTTAGGATAAACTTAATCTATGCCCTGAAGCAGCAACGCAACAATCCGAAGAGCGAGGTGACGGCTGAAACCCGAAACCCTAAACCTTGGGTACTGCCCCCGCCCAGTAACAGTCTAGGGTTCAGGGTTTAGGGTTTAGGGTTTAAGTTGGGTACTGCCCCCCCAGTAACAGTCTAGGGTTCAGGGTTTAGGGTTTAGGGTTTAAGTTGGGTACTGCCCCCACCCAGTAACAGTCTATATGAGGTGTCCTATTAAGGGCTATATGTGACCATATTATAATTATTATCCAGCTGTTACTGGGGGGGCAGTACCCAACCAAAACCCTTAAACCCCTAACCCCTAACCCGAAACCCTCTACCCTAAACCCTAGCACAGGATTGTGGTGTCAACAAGCGCACTAGTCCTGGGGATCAAAGGTACCCTGAGAAGCCATCCCAAGTATCCAACGAGGACATCCGCGTTTTTGGACACCTCCCGTCAAGGTAGGGTTCAAGATTTAGGGTTCAGGGCTTAGGGTTTAGGGTTCAGGGTTTAAGGGTTTAGGGATTATGAGAGAACCCGGAGGATAGTTGTTCGAGGAAAACCTATGTATGATGCAAGCGGGGCAACCAGCCGATGGCCGGCTGGGGATCTCTATAAGTTGGGACAAACACATGTACATGTATACATATACATATGTGTTTCTGTGCAAATTGTATACATGTTCTCAACAAAGTAAAATACCCCTGCTATAGGGACTGCCAAAAGGCGACACCTACTTGGAGATCCAGAAATGTAAGTACGTATACTTTTTTACAAGCCCTATAGTCCCAACAGTAACCAGCTATCCCCATGAACCCGAAACCCTGAGTAACATATCATAGAGACATTGTGGTTTCAATTTTCCACTTTCTGCAAACTCCTAGGTGAGCATTGACACACCTTCTAGGTTGGCAGGGTTATGAGGGTTTGTAGGGTTATGTGCGGGTATGGGGAGATAAGGATGAGGATGTAGGGTTTAGGATTAGGGGTCTCGGCAGGTATTTGACAAAGCGCCAGTGGGATGTCCCCTGGTGAGAGAAGCGGCAAGGGGAAATTAGAGTTACGCGTTTGGCTTTTCCCCACCTGAGTCCTCCATGCATCATGCATCAACTTCATGAGTCCTTTCTAGGCAAGTGGCTCCCGTAATAGCAGTAAGCTCGTGATTATCATGCTTTTGAAGCATATAGGGAGAACACTACCTTGTTGAGCAATGGCACCCCCCCCCCTCCCCCGGCGCTAACGACATGAGCATATCTACACGGCCACCCTCCCCTACCTGGGGAAACCGAACGAAGCGCTCGATGTATGGAAGCAGGTCATCCATGAAGGGGAGGACGTATGGCAAGTGCCTGAGCGCCACACCCCCATAGTATAATGGTAAGAATAGAAATAGCAATACTAGCAATCATAGTTATAATAGGAATAGTACTAGTAGTAATAACAATAATAGTAATACTAAAATTTAAAGAACTGGCCAGGCGGACCGGCATGACAGATTGGAATTCATCTCTGCACGCCCTAAACCACTACTTAGGGTTTAGGGCTTGTAAACCCTGAACCCTAAACCCTCTTTGAATGCAGATTGCTAGGACAGCAGCTCCCAGTCTGATACTGCTATTCTTGCTGCCCCTAATAACTGGGCTGGTGTTAAGGAACTTAAATTAAGTTACCATAATGGGCATATATCGTAATTAATATGGTTCCCCCAATATAGTAACTTAAATTAAGGTCCTTAACAGCAACCCAGATAAGTAGTGGTGATGGACAACATCCTGCATGACCCTATCTACATGCATGTCAGACGAGACACACCCTTCTACAAGTTCATCCCTATATACCTCTCTTGTCAATGAGGGCACTCTGCCACTGGCTAACCCCAACTCTTACAACTAGTACGTTACGACTATCATAATGGGGTCCTGATTTGGGGGGTTGGGGTTGCCGAAGCCCTCTTGGTTTCCATTCCACTTTCCGTTTGATTCTCCATGCATCCCTATGCGCGCTTATACCACCCCCCCTGTAAAACCATGAAAGCCTACACCTTGGGTACTGCCCCCCTCAGTAGCAGTTGAATATTAATGGTAATAGGGTTATATATAGCCCTTA